TTCACACCATGGCCACATATCACCGGAGTGGAGACGATTTCAAATTCGGAGCTTCTCTTCGCATATAAAATCATACATATGGTCTCTTTGTTTCGGGTTCCCTCTACAATAATTAGTACATATTTCAAAACTGAGCTACAAAAGAGCACATTGGATTTTGGTAAACATCAAGATTGCTTCCTACCTTCCAAGAAACATGATAGACTAATTCACATCCAAGACCAAACATTAGCCACATAAAGCCTGAATCAAATTAAACGATCTTAGGATGCTCTTCATAATCCGTAAGTTAAAGAGACTTGCATTAATATTGCAAATTAGACTCTAGAGGTGCACAATGGTTAATCAGAGTGTATCAAAGACGACGAATAAAGCATGAGTTAGAATATCAGCAGAGGAAGCACACAAATATTCAATAAACGTAATCAATCACTGAGAATAGCATGGACCCAACTTTTGAAAGATTCATTAAAAAAGAAGATTTTTCCTATGCAACAATATTCAAACAATGAGAAGATCAATGATTGATGACTAACCATACAACCGAAGCAAAGCCATAAACAGAAAAGAAAGTACTAAAGAGCCACAACAGCAGTGATACGACATTTGTTTCCTCGCACTGGAAACAATGACGTGCTTCCATAAATCCAATCTAGTTTTTATGGAAAACAAACCTGCATTCATAATAAACACTACTATTAATTATTATTTTTTATGCAAGAATTAAATGGCAGTATAAAAAATTCAATGGTTAGTGCCGAAAAAAAAAGCAAGGATTAGTTATGATATCAAATCAAAATTAAATATCAAGCAAGATATTTACATAAAATTAAGGCAGTGGAGGATCTAAGAATTTTTTATATGACAATATCTACAACTAAACAAAGAAAATTTATATATTTTTAAAACAGAATCATTATTTATTTTTTTGGTAAGATTAAAACCGAATCATTATCATATTAGTAAAATTATCATTTATTTATTATTATCCACGTTAATTTAAAAGTTTAAGAGAATATCTGCTTTTTTCTCATAAAAGGATGGGATAATAACATAACTCTTTTAGATTTATAACTATATTTGACATTATCATATTAAATCTATTAAGATAAATATATTTCTTTTTGAAAAAGATAAATAAAATGATAATATAATTATTATAGATTTACAATTATATTATTATCCATGTCAAAATTTTAAAACATTTTACTTTTTTCTCACATAGGAAGATAGAACAATAACGTAACAGTTTAAGATTTACAACATAAAAATAATATCAGAATTGGAACGCCAAATCATAATCAACACAATTAACACAACTCTAATGGGAAATTAGAGTTATCTTGTGATTAAAATACTAAACAAACAAAACTAACCGAAACAAAACAAAAGTCTTCCTTTCAAAATCATTAACGTGACGGATTGCTGACTGATTAAGTTGAAGTTTTAGGCATTTAAAGATCTAGAAAGATGATTAAGGTTAAACATTTTTATTTATTTTAAACAACGTTTGAATGTTGACAAAAAAAGAAAAAGAGAGTGTTGGGACCATCGGGAGAGACAACGTTGAGCAGCTGCGAAAGAAGCCAACGTTGTCTATTATGTTCCTCACAGTGTTTGATTTGACTTTTGATGACATTACACTTCTGTCCACTTGTTGTCTCGAAAGTTCATGCAATGAAAAATTATTAAACAAAACAATTTACTTTTATGTATAAATCCTAGGGAAGAACCGATCAAGCTAAGATCAATGGTTGTGGTTTTAGTACCGTATACTTCTCAAATATACCCGTTGAATAACGGAAATCCGCAAGACGGGGAGGAGACGAAGTCAACCTAGCTGGCAAAGGAGCTAACCCAGCTCCTTTGGTCTTATTTATGGTCATATGTATTTAGCAAAATATGGTATACAAACCGAACCAATCAACAACAAAACCTGGTTTTAAATTGTTGTATATTTCTCAAAAGTCAAAACCCATAATAACCAATGGAACAGAAGAAGCTAATGCAGAGCATACTTACGCTTGGAGTAAAGAGTGATGCAAGCTTCCATTGGCACACCCAAAAACGCATCAGAGCATGGAAAGAAACCTAAAAACCAATAAATTAAACAATAATTAAATCTTAGTGCATGGAAAACGAATCCTATACATACCAAAGTCCGAATCTCAGTGCCTTAGAATGACCTCGATACCAAAAACTTTAAGTTACTACTTCCATATATGTAATATTTTAGTTTGGGGAGAGAGATTGGCAACGAAGAGTAATTCCTGAATTTAACAGCCAAGTTTGTTATCCCTAATCTAAAGAGAGGAATACTTAAATTGTATTAACGACAAAAATTAGCCTCCTCTGAAGATTCATCCCTGAAATAAGTCATCTTTCTGACTTTGTGGCAACTGTGTTATCAAAAGTTGAGTGTTTCTTCTGAGAAAAGACATATTTGAAAATAATAAGAACATGTACCTCAACAAAATCGGGAGGTACCTCATCTTTTTACAACAAAAAGAAACATACCAAACCATCGATGATTACCTTCTCAAAAGTTGAAACCAAACTTTTTGATTATAAAAATTGATTAGTGGTGAAAATAGTGAAACCATAAATACAAAAAAAAAAAAAAATCAAATTTGTACATATAAACTATAAGATCACCTGTTTATTCATTGAATTAGGTCCAAATTTTCCATACACCAGTTCACATCGTCCCCTCCATACATCCACCCTACAATAAAAAGAAAAATTAAAATTACGTAGAAGCAAAAAAAAGTTTGAAAAAAAAGAACAAAAAAACAAGGGTTAGTTATGATCTGAAATTGAATACCATGAGCAAGGTATTTATATTGAATAGGAGGCGGTGCATGATTTAGAGTTTCTAAATTTTTCGACGATAAATAAAAAGAAAAGAAAATTTACATATTTTAATAAGCAAATCACTATCATAATAATAAATATTTGTAAAACTGCCATTTATTCATTGTTATCCATGTTTATTTAAAATAATATTTACTTTTTTCGGTAAAAATATAGAATAATAACAACTATTTTAGATTTACTACTATATCTGATACTATCTTATAAAATATATTAAAATTTAAGGGAAAATTCCTTTCTGTTTCAAAAATAAGGCGGAACAATAATATAATTTTTGATTTACAATAGATAGACATGCATGGTATCCATATGCGTCATGTCACGCTGATCCATATTTTTTTCCAAAACTCGATCTAATTGCTATTATGTGCAAAAATCACCGCCGTTCACGTTCATGTTCACGTTAGCACTCCATACCTTAATTCACATGTAAACCTCTCTGCCTATCTCTGACTTCAGCTCTCTCATCTTCGAGTCTCCCCAAGAAAGTTTTGACACCACACCAACATTTCATTCATCAAAATTAAATCGAGTTTGCACAAGGTTACAACCGATTAATAGGTGGTCTTCTACCTTCTATTTACGATTTTATGCTATGAATATATGTTTTTGTCAGGGTTCAAGTCAATCTCCGGATTAGAGACTTATAATCATCCGACGAACAATACGATGGCGTGATAACCGTTTCTAAATTGGTGGGTTCTCTTTCATTGATCTACATATTATTTTTTTGTTCGTTTTTTTTTCCAAATATTTAGATTGAAACGACGACGAACACGACGATCATACCAAAAATTTCATCTATTCTGGTACGTTTGATCTTTATTTTAATTAGTTTAACAATTAATAGCCGTTTACGATTAATTTCGGATATCTAAATCTTATTAATTTGAGTAAGGTTAGAATAGTATTCTTTTATGTTTATATTAATGCTCCGATTAATAATTTTCGGATATTTGACATTATCATCTTAAATATATCAATATTATAATAAATATTTTCCTTTTCCGATTTTTTTTTTGGTATAATTCCTTTTCCGATAAATTATGAAACAGATCTGTTTACACAAAAAGTAAAAAAAAAAAAAAAAAAAAAAAAAAAAAAAAAAAACCATCAACCGTCTCCATTCACACGTTTCTTCATTATGATCACGAATTCACGTTCATGGAAGCTTCATCATACATTAACACTTACAAGTTTCTTCGTCGAGTTTTTATCCAAGGTTTCTTCGTCAACTCTGTATCCAAGGTAATAAATATTTGTTCTTTTCATTGGTTAGAATTATAGGGTGCAGGATAGTATTGACGTCTTAAAGACATAACATGGGCAAGATACTATGAGAAGCTTGACTATTCTGCTTCGACAGATCAACAGGTGAAATTCTATCACTAAATTATTAGATCTCTGTTATTGCTATGAATATATGCTTTATGTTAGGATTTCAAGTTTTGCCTTCGTTTAGAAGAATTATATTCACACGACGAAGATCTAATAATTCAATTAAAGCTTCCTAACTGGTACTTCGTTGTTCCTTTTTTTTTTTTGGTTAATTATCATGTGTATTGTTTCCAAAATTATTTTTTCCTGGTTAATTCCGAAATTCAATTTAATTTTTTCAAAATTAATTAGATTTCATCAAGAGTAATTAAGTAATTACGTAAAATAAATGACTCAACAAGAGCCGAGAGTCTGACACGTCAGCAAAAACACTTCTCAAATATTATTATATATAGATACTTTTTAGTTTTATATAGATATTTTATATAACTTTTATATATAATATCATATTTATAATGTTTTGTGTTATAAACGTCTAAACCGCCTAAAAAATCGTCTAGGCCCCGATTAGGCGTTCTAGGCGCTAGGCACTGGGTCACCGCCCGCTAAGCGCCTAGCGCTTTCTTGAACACTGGTTATGGTTAACAAAATATACTAACCGTAACCGTTAATTAAACGTAAACGTATCAAAAACCTACAATTATCTAATTGTGGTGCGGCAAGGTTCCATAAACTTATCATTTTACAATTTTGCCCCTATCTATTTTTCATACAAAATCATTTTGTGTGGAAAAAACTGAATATTATCTTTAGCGAGTAAGTGGAAAATCATGTTTTTTGCGGATAAACGGAAAATCACATTTTTTAGCGAAAAAACGCGGGATCAGGTTTTTGGCGGAAAAACGGAAAATCACGTTTTGGAGAGAAAACGCAGGATCACGTTTTCGGCAGGAAAACACAAAATCACGTTTTTGGCTGGAAAACATGAAATCACTTGTAACACGCGTCCCGCCATACATGCCAAAACAGCATGTTATTCATCCGATCTTGCCAAAACGTTTTCTTTAAACTTCACACACGAACAAAACATTATTGCACACAACTCCTGAAGCTTACTCACCTGAGGAGAAAGGGTAAAAAGGGTGAGTAAAGAATACTCAGTGAGGGGAATCAACTATGCCCACTGAAACATAGAACACTTTCTCAAGCTATACAACCATAATCATGACATATAAACTTAGACACAACTACAATGCTTTAACGTCTAACATCACATTCATAAAAACTATCTTATCCATACTAACACACACATACGTATCGTTAGGTCCAGTCATCCTCGTGACGACTAGAACCTCATGAGTGGAGGCTGGTGCTCGTGGTTTAGACACTCCCATGCATTTTGGGCTCGTCATCCTTTCTTGACCATCATGTAACCCGTCGGCCCATCACCGTCCACATTACTAAGGAGACCACGGCCCATTGCTCGACTCTCCCCAGTAATACATACATCACACATACATACTCATCATCATATTTAACATACTCATACTTAATATATCATACATAAAATCACATTATCAAACATCATTACTAACACATATCAAAGTCAACAATCATCTTCATAACTTCACATAATCTTATCCTATACAATCAGATCTAAACCTACACATCATGTGTCAAGGAGCATAACAAAATAAAATGATACCATGATTCGCAAACACCACCCTCACCTTAGCCTATTGAAGACGAAGACTCAATTCTCCTTTCTTTTCATTTAGGCATACTTAATATCTTTACTGCAACCACATGATCTTAAGTTCTACCTTGGCTCTCCATCAAAGGGGACCTGAATTCATGAGTCATTAAAGCTCTTCCAAATATTCAGCTAAAACCGAGCTCATTTACCCAACCAACAACACAAACTCGTCATAATTTACTTCACACAAAACTGTCTCGGAAACATATGCATAAGTCAAGAACTAACCGTTATAAATGCAATCCCACCGTTGATAATCTAGCCAGTAGTACCATGAAGCTCTCCGCCAAATTTCGTCCCGATCAGACGCTGTTTCGACCTCCAAACGTTGCCATCAATCACCCACCAACTGTTTTCTAGTTCATACTCAGCATAGATTTGGACAGTGTCTGCAGTTACTTGGCGAGAAAGAAATATTTAAAACGTCTTAAATATAACCTCGATTTAATCTCCGCCACATGCTGTGCATTCTAGACAATATGAGCTTTTCAGAGACACTTTACAGGTCAACTGATTCTCTCTGCTTCGAAAGATATGAGCCTTACAAAACTCCAACTTGAATCTGAAATTTTATCTGAAATAACTTAAGTTTTCCAGAAATCAGAACATGTGATTTTTCAACAACTTACAAGACGAATTTTGAATGGAATATACCTCCGTTTGACAAACCGTCAATTGCTATGGCTTCCTTGAAGCGAGATCTATTCATAGAGATCAAAATATCAATATAACTCTTTCAACGTCAATAGGAAATCAATCCTCAAAACCTCTACTTGAAACTGCAATTTTTCTCAGATAGAAAAATCTGGGCTCCGATAACTGTGACTTTTCGCCAACTTTAAACACGATTTCCTGATCGACCTTACCTCTGATTGAGAATCAGAAAACTGTTCTGAAATCTTGGCAACAAGGGCTATCCAGATCCGTAAATAAATTGCCTTAATTTACTTCAGACGTATCAATAAACGGGTCACCAAATCCACTACTTGACATTGTTTTCTTCTTTCACTCCTTCACGAGAAAAACCAATAATTGATACCTAAGCCACGAATCCAATAGCTAAGGGAGACAATTCCAATAGGATAAGACATAACTATGATAGGTTTTACTCACCTAATCAAACCGGTGTTGAATGGTGACGATATGTCATGTTTGCTTTCTCTCCCCACTTAGACGTGATCAAACGAAACACAACGTACGGCAGCTCCGATCTCAGCGTCAATGGTGATGAAGGCTTGGGATTGAGATGAGTGATGAGAACGTGATGGATATAATAAAGACGTGAGAGGCTGATGCGGTGAAGTGACACTATATACATATATACATACACACGTTTTAGGGTTTAGTGGTTTTGTTTGTTCCCCTCATGGGCATGGGCCTCACAATGAAGGAGTGGGGTGTTACAATCTCCCCCATTTAAATGAAATTCGTCCTCGAATTTTTGGCGGTGATTTCTTTCTAGAGAAAATAATTTACTTACTACTTATTATATGTACATCCAACGAACACCTCCCCCACTCATTCTGTACTAGGGAATGACCTTGATTTCTTGCTTCCCTTTTTTTTTTTAATAAACCAAGACTTGGTTCATAGCAATGGTTATGATGCACCACTCTGGTAGCTTAGAAAATTTTTCCACTTTCCTACTTGCAGTGAACTCTGGCGCAAAAACAATAATCATATTTTTATGCTCAAACAGAAGAATCACAACCAACAACTTACATAATCAAGGTTAACATATCCATCAACGTGTTCTTGCGGGTTCACATGCGTTGCGAGGCTAGCTAACATCCTACTCTCTCTCTCTCTTTTTTTTTTTTTTTCCATCATACCTCCATTGGTTTTGAGTCTCTTCTCTCAAGAATGGTTTCCATACCAGTGTTCATGTAGTGAGAGTTTAAGAGATTTTCCTTGCTCTTTATGTTATTATATAAGGTTCCTTTTGACTTGAGATAGCCAGCCAAAAGAGATCCTATGCGTTGGGTCGGTAACCATTATGTCAATCCACCTTACCGGATTTGATTATCATGGTGGGTGTAACATCCATTAGAAATATTTTTTCCAAGTTTTCCGAAAGCTTATAAGATATTCTCAAGGTTTCCCAAAGCTTATAGGATATTCTCAAGCTTTTCCAAATCTTATATGATATTCTTTAGTTTTTCTAGGTGAAACCGTCACTCTTCCATAGTTACTTGTAGTGTTGTTGACATGTATGTCGCACAAATAGATATTTTTCTCCAGCACCAAATCCATATAAGATGATAACCCTTATACCTTTATGTGGGCTCTCAAATCCCTGATTCATAATCTGCTCAATGGCATGTGTTCCTTCCCACTTTCTCCATCAGATTTACGAGCTCTTTCACCTGTCCTTGGCCACTTTAACATTGTTACTCGTCTCTTAGGGAATTCGTCTCTCTTCTACCTCATATATCTTCGACACTTTTTTTTTCTTTTAAATACTCTCTCTTTTCCTTTCTCCATTACCTCATCCTCTGGCCTTTCTTGGCAATTCTAATAAACTAATCCTTCTTTGACACTTCTTAACCACACATTAAAGTAAATAAAACATGAGGATCTGATTTACATTCCAAAAACACGGGACTGCAATTAAGTCTTCCCAAACAGAAACCTAGCATGCATAAAAATTCACTCAATCAAACAAACATTTTAATTCAATCAAAAAAATCAATCATCAAACTCAAGCAAAACACATAATCAATTATTCAAACATTTAACTTTTTTTTTTAACCTTTTTTATGAATATGATTTTCAAAAATTTGATCCTCCGGGTCAGAACCGGAGTGGCTTTAACCGGCTCTGATACCAAAATGTAACACCCGTCCCTCCATACAGGCCAAAACAGCATGTTATTCATCAGATCTTACCAAAACGTTTTCTTTAAACTTCACACACGAATAAAACATTATTGCACACAACTCCTGAAGCTTTACTCATCTGAGGAGAAAGGGGAAAAATAGGTGAGTAAAGAATACTCAGTGAGGGGAATAAACTCTGCCCACTGAAACATAGAACACTTTCTCAAGCTATACAACCATAATCATGACATATAAACTTAGACACAACAATCCACCTACAATGTTTTAACGTCTAACATCACATTCATAACAACTATCTTATCCATGCTAACACACACATACGTATCGTTAGGTCCAGTCATCCTCGTGACGACTAGAACCTCATGAGTGGAGGCTGGCCCTCGTGACTCAGACACTCCCATGCATTCCGGGCTCGTCAACCTTTCTTGACCAGCATGTAACCCGTCGGCCCATCACCGTCCACATTACTAAGGAGACCACGGCCCATAGCTCGATTCTCCCCAGTCATACATACATCACACATACATACTCATCATCATAATTAATATATCATATATAACATCACATTATCAAACATCATTACTAACACATATCAAAGTCAACAATCATCGTCATAACTTCACACCAATCTTATCCTATACAATCAGATCTAAACCTACACATCATGCGTCAAGGAGAATAATACCAAAAGAAAATGATACTATGCTTCGCAAATACCACCCTCACCTTAGCCTATTGAAGACGAAGACTCACTTCTCCTTTCTTTTCATTTAGGCATACTTAATATCTTTACTGCAACCACATGATCTTAAGTTCTACCTTGGTTCTCCATCAAAGGGGACCTGAATTCATGAGTCATTAAAGCTCTTGCAAAGCTTCAGCTAAAACCGAGCTCATTTACCCAACCAACAACACAAACTCGTTATAACTTTTTAGTTTTTACAAAACAGAAACTGAATTTGATCGAAAAAAAAAAGTTACAAAACAGAAACTGAATCAGAGAAAAAGTCTTTTCTCTCCTAAACCTAAAAACCCTTATTTGCCTTCTCTCCTACGAATTTCTATCTAGATCATATTCGTTTATCTCTTGAGTAGGTTTTAGGGTTTCTCGCTTCACAGGTTTTAGAGGAAGATGAATTATACGAGATTTGACCCCAAGGTCCAGCTTATACTTGCAAAGGCTCGAACACTTGCCATCGTATCGTCACATGTTCAAGTAACTCCTCTGCATCTCGGAGTTGGTTTGATTTCTGACAAGACTGGTGTTTTCTATCGAGCAATCACCACTGCAGGAGGAAGCGAACTCTTGGCTCAGTCAGCTGTCAAAGTCATCAAACAAGCCTTAAAAAAGCTCCCAAAACAGGTTCCTCCACCAACTGGAGCCATTCCTCGATACCCAAGTCGTAAGAATCTTCCAAAACAGACTCCTCCAATATCGAATGGGGCCATTCCTCAATATCCAGGTCTTAACATACCTCAAAATCCCATTCCCTTCTTAACTAGAACCATTCCTCAAAACAATGCAAGTCTTGTTATGGTCTTAAATCGTGCACAAACGAAGCCCGGGGAGACCAGTGTGGGAGTAGAGGCATTGGTGATTAGTCTTCTTGATGATTCTCAAATCAGGGATTTGTTGAAAGAAGCTGGTTCTGTACCAGAGAAGGTTAAGTCTGAGGTGGAGAAGCTTGGTGGCGAGGTAAACCTTCAGGCTTTGAAGACTTATGGGATAGATTTGGTTGAGCAAGTAGGTAAGCTTGATCCTGTCATTGGCCGAGACAAGGAGATTAGAAGAGTTGTTGGGATTCTCTCAAGGAGAACCAAGAACAACCCCGTGCTTATTGGTGAGCCAGGTGTTGGAAAAACTGCTGTGGTTGAAGGTTTGGCTCAAAGGATATTGAAAGGAGACGTGCCTATCAATCTTACCGATGTAAAGCTCTTTTCCTTGGACTTGGGTGCAATGGTTGCCGGAACAACACTACGTGGACAATTCGAAGAAAGATTGAAGTCGGTCTTGAAAGAAGTTGAGAATGCTCAAGGCAAAGTTGTTCTCTTTATCGATGAGATCCACATGGCTCTTGGTGCTGGAAAGGCAAGTGGCTCCACGGATGCTGCTAATTTGCTTAAGCCTATGTTAGCAAGAGGTCAGCTTCGTTGCATTGGTGCTACTACGCTTGAGGAATACCGAACACATATCGAGAAAGATGCTGCATTCGAGAGAAGGTTCCAACAAGTGTATGTAGCTGAGCCTAGTGTCCCTGACACTATCAGTATTCTTCGAGGGCTTAAAGAAAAATATGAAGGACACCATGGTGTTCGTATCCAAGACAGTGCTCTTGTTGTTTCTGCTCAATTGTCTGCGCGTTACATCACTGGTCTGTTGCGCGATCTTTCTATTTAAGATGTCCTTGGTTTATGATAATTATTTTATTTTTGCTGATTTGTGTTCTATTTCTGTTCTGTATTTGCTTAGCTCGACGTTTACCGGATAAGGCAATTGATTTGGTTGATGAGTCTTGTGCACATGTGAGAGTCCAGCTTGATAGTCAACCAGAAGAAATTGATTACCTTGAAAGAAAAACAATGCAACTAAAGATAGAGATTCATGCTCTCGAAAAGGAGAAGGACGACAAAGCTAGCGAAGCTCGCCTAGTCGAAGTATATTACTTTGAAAACATGTTCTTTATATATAAGTCTGCTTAGTAAGTGTTGTTTATATACGAGCTTCTTTGATTTGTTATTCTGCAGGTGAGGAAAGAGCTTGATGACTTGAGGGACAAGCTTGAGCCTCTTACAATAAAATACAAGAATGAGAAAAGGATAATTAATGAAACTCGGAGTCTTAAACAGAAACGAGATGAGCTCATGATTGCTCTACAAGAGGCTGAGAGACAATATGACCTTCCTAAAGCTGCTGATCTAAGATATGGGGCAATTCAGGAAGTAGAATCCGCGATAGCAAAATTAGAAAAGAGTGTTAAAGATAACGTGATGCTTACGGAAACTGTTGGGCCAGAGAATATTGCTGAGGTAGTGAGCCGATGGACTGGGATTCCAGTGACTGCACTTGACCAGAACGAGAAGAAGAGGCTGATTTCTCTTGCTGATAGGTTGCACGAGAGAGTTGTTGGACAAGACGAAGCCGTGAAAGCTGTAGCTGCGGCAATTCTAAGGTCAAGGGTTGGACTAGGAAGGCCACAACAACCATCTGGTTCCTTTCTTTTCCTCGGTCCAACTGGTGTTGGTAAAACTGAGCTGGCTAAAGCTCTTGCTGAGCAACTCTTTTACGATGAAAACCTACTTGTTAGGCTTGATATGTCGGAGTATATGGATAGATCCACTGTTAATAAACTTATAGGGGCACCACCCGGGTACTTGCTTATAACTCAAGCCTCTTATGTGCGTTTGTGATTAATGGTATAA